AAGTGTAACATCAGCATCTCTCTTCCTGTGAATCAGATGGCTATTGAGGAGCTGTTGATTGGAAATGAGGGTGTGGGTATTACTCTGAATAAAGGGTTTGATGTACAGTATACCTCAGTTATCATTAACTGTTCTGCCTGCCAGAATTCAGGTGGGAGATGTGGATCAAACTTTACATCGCTTGAGTTCTTATGCTTCTGCCCTGACCAACCTTACCCTCGAATGTGTCTCAAACCTGGTACGCATGTTTATTCTTCTCACATTAACAAGATGTTTCTCTTCATTGTTTTCCTCTGAGGTTCTTGATCTTAAACATCCTAAAGGAACTGTTCTAACTTAGGAAATTCAAAATTTTGACATTTAAAACTCAACTTACCTTCATAATCTTAGGATTGGACTAGTTAGGTGGGTTTTAATTCTAGTTCAAGTTATTAACTGGTGAATGTTTTTTCTTGAACTAGATAGACAGGCTTAATTCGAGTTCGAGTTTTGGTTGTATCATAGGTTTGTAAAACAGAATTTGAGGCAATATTAGAATTCTATTGCAATTCTTAGACTTTGAATGGTATTCTCTGTATTCTGCGGATGCTATTTCTTGGCAGTTTCATCCTTCATAGTCATAGAGGTAGGTCAAAGTTCTAAATCAAATAATTATCTTTCTTCCTCTGACAAGAAAGATAATTGTACATTGAAAATTGTATGAAGCTCGCTATCTTTCTTAATTTCTTGGTCAAGTTTTATTATTCTAGGTGGCTTTTAAGTTTTCACATTATAATAGTACTATTATTATTAGAGGAAATGGAGGGATGACATTGACCAAGACCTTCCATTTGGCTTTATGTAAATATCTCTTTAACTTGAACAAACAAACGCATCTCATCATCTCCTACCAATTCCTTTCTAGTTTTCCTCCATAACTCCCACAAATGGAAATGCTTCGCCAACCCATTTTTTCATCCACTTTTGTGTGGATCATCATCATCTTCTCCATCTTGCTCCTTCTCCGACCATCATACAGCGATCCCTTGGATGAGTTCATAGAGTGTAACCTTTCTGCTTCCTTCCAGTGCGGCGACTATGGAAACTTTTACTATCCTTTTTGGAACGACAATACTTCGGAGCATTGTCGTCCGCTTGGATTCCACTTGAAAGACTGCGAAAAAGGGGTTCCCACCATAGACTTTGGCCCAGATGGTTCATTCCAACTGTAGCAGAGAAACCCATCAGATTACAGCAAATTGACGATTGCTCCAAAGGATTTAAAGGCATTTATTTGTCCAGTGACAACACAAAACAGAGCTCTGCTGCCCCTTTTCTTGAAATTCTCCGAAACCAACAGAAACTTCACTCTGTTCTATAACTGTACTCCATCTGATGACGTACCGACTGAAAATATTACTGAGTGCGGACCTGGATATAACAGACTGTTCTACATGAATGATTCGGATAGGGATGATCATTCCGAAGAGCTGCACAAGTGCTGTAATATGACAGTTGCAGTTAATTTGATGGGTTTGTACTCCCTGGAGAGCAGAAAGGGATTGGCTTATGCTTTGAAATATGATGGGTTTGATGTGATGTACAACATTAGTGCGGTTTTATGTGATCAGTGTGAGGGTTTAGGTGGGATATGCGAAAACAATCCAAGTTCAGTTCCGTATCTACAAACAACGTGCAAGCGTCGTTCAGGTATGGATTATCTTTGCAAAACCATTTATTTTTAATTTGGTATAGTGCTTACGGCTTAGGATTATTCTGTTCTGGCAGTGCACATTCAATTCACAATTGAGTCTATACAAAGCTTGTCAAAATCGAGATTTTACCTAAAATCGTTTTGGTTAGGTAAAATCGGAATCGTAAAATCGAATCGATAAAATCGAGATTTTACAAA